TCACGCGCATCTATTTTGAACAGCCAATCGCGTTTACGACCAAAATGCGCCATTTTGAAGGCGGCAATTCAATATGTACAAAATTGATACGAAATATCGTAGTTAAATTAAATAAAATAAAATTAATATTATACATTAATCCAATTAATTCATATTTAAAATGATCTGAACAGACTCTTGCTAAAAAAATCGAAACAAAACAAAAATACATTTACTTTTTAATTCCAATACATTGCAAAGTAAGGTTAAAAAATGCAAAAGTAAACAAAGCAGACGTCACGCATGTAGAGGTGGTTGATCCAAGTATTTTTGTGGATCAGGTCAGATATACTCACTTACACTTACTATGAGTACAGTACCCGTACCATGGACGTATAAATAAAGATCTTTATTTATACGTCCATGACCCGTACTCGTTTATTATAATCTATTGGTGTTAGGGATCAGTTCCACAAGTATAAATAAAATACATGTTCCAAAGTAACTGGTACGGGATCAGGTCACCATCCCTACACGCATGTGACATATTGTAAAGATGGTGGATTTTGGTCGGCGCAGAAATGTGCAAAAACGAGTCCACCTAGTGAGCATACCTTGTTTCCTTATATCATGGTTTTAATTATCTTGGTTGCCATATTACTGAACAACTAGATCCAGATCAAGAGATAAAATGTAGAATCGAGATAGCCACGCACGACATTTTTAAAAATGAGGTCATTCTTTTGTAATGATAACTTGCAACTTCAACTTCGAAAGCGCACGGTTAAATACTACATTTGGTCAGTCCTCTTATACGGTAAGTATAAAAGTAAGATAAGCGAAGTACGGACATTAAAAAATATCCACCATTAATCGTCTGGAGGCCTTTGAAATGTGGCTGCACAGACGTATACTAAAAATTCCATGGACGGTTATGCTGACAAATGTGGCAGTCCTTAAGAGAGCAAATGCTGCTCGCGAGCTGCTTGATAACATCAAATGTAGAAAGATGGCCTATTTTGGACACGTAGTAAGGGAGACCGATATAATATTCTTCAACTTATTATGATGGGTAAAATCGAAGGACGCAGAGGAATTAGTAGAAAGCGGGCCTCTTGGTTGAAGAATATCAGGGAGTCGACAGGAATAAGGAAAGCTGAGCAACTCTTTAGAATAGCTCGAGACAGAGACAATTTCGCCATGTTAATCGCCAACGTCAAGGGGACTTGATAGGGCACGTTAAGAAGAACAATATCCTTTGTAAAATGTTTAAGTCTTTCAAACAATACATTGCCGAAGTTTTTATTCATAGATGCTAACAAAGTAATGCCTCTATAGTTCTTACACTCCAGTTGATTACCCTTTTTATGCAACGGACATGTTATTCCCCTTAGTCACTCATCTGGTACCCATTTACCCTGCCATATAAGTACCATTATATATAGTTTATGGATTGCTGCAAAAAGTTGATCACCACCTTTTTTACATATTTCCGAACAGATTTCATCGATTCCTGGGGCTTTATTGTCTTTGAGTTTTAGGATCACATTTGGCACTTCTTCTCTTGTTGGGTCTTCACTGTGTAGTTGACGTTGTAGATTTTGTTGATTTTCTATGTTGTAACCTCCTTCAATATCGTTTATATTTAGATGTTCGCCGAAATGTTGTGCCCATCTGTTAAGAACTGAGTTTTTATCATGTAAAATTTCACCGTTAGTGTCTTTACAAATTTTTAATCGTGGTTTAAATTCTCGACGGCTAGTATTTAAGGATTTGTAGTATTTCCTCGTTTCATTTTTATCGAATAAACTTTGTATCTCACTCATAGAGTTCTGTTCGTATTCACTCTTCTTACGTCGATGGATACGTTTTTCTAAGACTGGACGTAGTTAAGCAGAAAACGTCCAACCCACAAATTGTTAAAAATGAGTTCTTTACACCAGCGACCATATAATTTCTTACTTTATAATATGCAGAAACCGTCCAAGTGAAAACATTACATACTATTTTAATAATCGTCAAAGTTCTAACCCACAAACTAGGTTAACTGAGAATTTCATTGATAATAACAAATCCAAGTGGGTTGAATTTTTTCTAAAAAATGTATGTTGATATAAGTAATCGTGTTAAAAGAGTGGTTAAAACATGCTAAGTGGGTTGGATCATTTTAACGCTCAATGAGAGAACAAAACTACTGTACATTTTTTTGTGTTGAAAACATCCAAGTGAATTGGATGTTTTCTACTTATAAATTTTGGTATACTTGTTAAAAATAAGAGTGCAATCACAAATCGTCCAAACCACTTGGTATCATTTTACGTTTACTATTTCATTAATATGTTAAAAGTAGTTTGAATCTTCGATTTCTGTCGATAATAAAATTTTATTTTGTAAATGTACCTATGTATTGATAAACATTTCTTTTTATTCAGTTGTGTCTGATTTTTCTGATTGTTCGGGTTTAAAAATACTTATTTAATAATAATTATGTCGAAAAGAAGCAAATACATAATGTGAGCTAGCAAAACTTATGGAAAACCAAACAAATAGTGCAATATCTAACATGGAATTTGACTCAAATATTACCAATGTTAAGGTAAGTCGGAAATTTTTTATTGAAAAAATACCAATATGTTGTTTGCTGATTATTTTTTCGTGGTTTTCAGCCAGATTTGAAGAAATAACACAAAACTGAGAAATGTTCTGAGTTGATTTCTACAGAGTCACGAAAACAGGAATTTGATCGTTTTTGGAGTCTTGGGCCTTATAATGCTCAAACTATCTTCATTGCAAATAATATCCACGAAATGCCGAAAAAAAAAATATATGGAAGAAACACTGAAAGACGTCTGTATTCCAGGCAATATTCCTTACTAAATCAGCGTATTTGTAGGCAAATATTTGTCAATAGTCTTAAAATAACTCCGTCAATAGTAACAACAGCTCTGAGAAAGGTAAACAATCGTGCTCCACTTCTTGATCAAAGAGGTAGAAAACAAGGTGGTTTAAACAAAGTCCCGGAAAATAAAATTCAGGAAATAATCAACCAGATCAATAAACTGCCAAAGTACATATCGCACTACTATCGTGAAAACACGTCTGCATTATTTTCACCGGCACATCTCTTATTATTAAAGATTTATGATCTGTACAAAACTAAAGTTTAATTCCCTGGTCTTTGGATTCCCTAGATCTTTATGAAACCTAGTTATTTTGGCGATGAAAGTGTGCTTTTGGGCGCTGCTTATGCAACTCTGGCCCAATGGTTAAAGCCCTGTCAGAGGATAAAATTAACGATATTAAAAGCATCTAATTCCTTCAGACGCTAAACCATTTTATGAAAATTTTATAGGTGCTAATGTAGTCGAACACGTTGATGTATTTAATATTCCAGTTCTAGATTTTGAGGTAGATACCCAAAATAATTAAAACTTTTTTTAAATTTACAAGCAAAACATTATAATTTTGTTTCTTTGAATCATTAAAAATTTTATATAAATATGACATTATTTATTTATCTGAAAGATTCCAACCCACATAAGTATGTTTAATCGAATAGTTTTTCGGATTTTTGTTTTTTGTTAAAAACGTCCAACCTAAAATTTTCAAAATATCTTCACTCAAACTAACATTTCAAAAAAACATAGAAGGTGGTGCCTACGAGATGAATATAATTATCTTAAAATCATTGCCAGGCGACTAAATTATGCATAGTTTAGTTAGGGCACACTAAAAACTTTTAAACTCAATTCCCAACAACCCTTTTTTGGGTTGGACGTTTTCTGTTTAACTACGTCCGTCTATACTCTTCTTTTTTCTCCGTGTACAATCTGCGTCGATGGTTTTTTGATATGCTGTGTTCTTTCTATTTGTGGCTATTTCGCACATCAAACCAATGATTTCTTTTTTCTGAATTGGTTTTGCCTATTACGATTTCAACCGATTTCTGTAACACAATATCTCGTATATTTTCCCATAGTTGGTTAATATCTTCTTCAAATATGTCCTTATTTGATCTTCTATTTGTTGTCTGTATACATTTGCAATATCGGGATCTTTTAGTTTATTAATGTCGATTTTTTCTCTCCTTCTCCCGATCTCCTTTTTTTAAATTGGATATTCTCTCTTTAAATCATGCTCCTCTCTCCTCTAAAAGACCTAACATCTAATAAGATAGAGCAGTGTCTTGCATCGATAATTATATGATCTATTTGGTTAATCGTTTCATTATCAGAGATTTCCAAGTTCCCTTATGTATATCTTTATGGGCAAATCGTGTCCCAGCTATTACCATGTTATTAGACATCGCAAAGTTTATGATTCTGAGACCGTTATCATTAGAGTCTACGTGTAGGCTTCCTTTTCTGATGGTTGGCGAAAATATATTCTCTCTTCCGACTTTGGCATTAAGTTTTCGGTAATTCTGATCCTTGATCGGAAGTGAATATATCGTTGAAGAACGTGTCAGTGAGGCCTCAAGTCCAGTTGCACATGCCAAATTCTATGATAGTTATTAACTTAAAATTTCTATACGGTAATATGGTTTGTCTAATAGTGGTTATAAAAGACTATTGATGTTTAAATTATAATTAGACAGTGACGAACGTTACAAACTCTTCCACCGTTTCTATAGTTTCGTGTTGCACCTCTAAGTTATTTTGTTGCATTCTTGATCTAACCGGCATATTGTATTTAGTTTTCTATGAGTTAATTAGAAGTCCGATGTTTTCTATGGCGTTTTTAATACTTCAACTGTTTCATTTTGGGCTCTTCCAATGATCACCATCATCATCATATGCCATTATTTGTATACTACGGGTATATAAATATGTTTATTCTCGAATCTCTCATAACTTTTTCTAACGCTAGGTTGAACAGTTGATAGAATTTTTAAGGTATGTAATAAAGCACAAATTGGTAATTTTTCATGTTTTATTTTATTTTTTGAAATTCTGCATGCAAAAAGAATATACACATAATTATTTATTTCAAGAGCATCCAAGTATTACTTTAACATCAGCCTAAATTCTAAAAGAGATGTTTTATATTTTTAATTTTATTGGATTTACAATGTTATCGATTTTGACTTTGGTCCATAAACGGTCCGACTGAAGTTTCTGAAATCAAGTGCATGAAAGTTCATATATTGACAACAGATAATTGGAAATAAAAATACTAGAATCGTAATCGTTAAACGAATACATATTTTATATTTTTTGAATTTGGATGTGGATACCAAGTGTGAAGACATAATTTCAGTGCTAAATTCAAATTAGGGTGACATATTAGTACAAAACTTTCTTAAAGTAGTAAAATCGCAGTATCCCAATAATTGATACAACAATTTCTGTTTGATGATATATAATCACACCGATATTTGCAATCGTTATCTAAATGTACAGTACACTGGAGGTTATTAACATGTGATTGCAATTTTTTAATGATATTCTGTAAATGTTCGTTTAACACAGAAAGTTGTGACTGAAATTAGATGCCCACTAATGAAGTAATAAATGATCTTACAATATTGTAAGTAATGCATTTATTAAATATTGTCATAAACCATGGTATTTTACTCTACATTTCATATTGTGACTGGCCATCAAGTTATAAATTTTATAGTAAATACAAAAATTTAGAGAAAGCTTAGTATCAGTGCAGTATCTTAACAATCAGTATCTTTGTATTAAACAGCTTAAGTATTAAATTTATATCTGTGAGACCAAGAGCGCATTTCCACCAAGGGAACATGTCAGTTAAATCTAAAGAAAGTTACTTAAATAGAGCAAGGCAAATCATACTGTGGTGTGGTTGCTCCTAAGTTTCAAGTCACTTAACTGAAAAAGTTTAATATTAATTTTTCTATAAAAATTAATCTTATATTTAAGTTTATTATATATGTCGAAAAGGTGGTTTATTGGGTTAGCAGCTGAATATTAAAAGTCAAAGTGTACTCTTATCAACGATTTCGTTATATTTCGTTAGATTTGTGTATAGAAAAAAATGGACAAAAATCCTGTGTATCCTGTTTACATCATTATCATCACATCATACTATACCATCAACATTTAAGGCACAAAACAGAGAAGACTTTCCTCCCCTACCAAATAAGGGTAAGGAAGAGACAATGGAAACTAGCGAAAACGCTAGCAGCCTAATCGCCGAAGAAAACAAAGGAGAAACCAACATAAAGTCAAAACAAAACCATCGGTAATAAATACCAACAATAAACCACTACAAATAGAGGGAGTATAATAACTAAAGAGGAGCAATATTGAGAATTGCTGAAACTCAAAGGGAAACACAGACAATACAATTTCCAAAAACGGAAGGAAAACTCTCATTCAAACAAAATTCACTAAAGATTTTCAACTCAACTGTTTTAATTGCCAGGGCTTCCACCACGCCCAAATGCATGCTTTATAGACGCTAGGTAAGTTAAGTACGCATAACAGCACAGAAGAAAAGTCTACCAAATTCCAGCAAAACAAACACGGTAACTGCAAAGGGCAACACCCAGCAAGTTATAGGGGATGCCCAAAGGTATCTGCCTGGGGAAGACCCAGACAAACAATAGAAAACAGAATACAACAATCTAAAAAGAACAATGGAGAATCGTACGCCCAGATTGGACCATACTATTTTCAAAAGAACAACAAAAGGACTGGCCACCAAATCACCAAACCCACACAAAACCTTGCCACAGATTCGACCATACTAATCTCAAAAGAACAACAAAAAGGACTGACCACGATGCTAGAAGAGCTAGTCATAAAACGGTAAATGAAGCGATCAAAAATGTAAAAATAGCACTCAACTAAGGTACGAAGCAAGGAGATACTTGAAGATAGGCTCCTGGTACTCAGGCGGCATAAGATGCAAACGTGCTGGACGAACTAATAAGCAGATACGAAATGGATAAAAACTAAACTAACTCAAACCATCAATATCAAATTTCCAGGATACGACATCTACAGGAACTACAGAGCAAATTCAGGAGGAACTGCTATCCTAGTGAGAAAAGGAAACCATACGTTACAACAGATGCCAGCCCTAAACTATGGAAGCAACTACAATAAAAGTCTAGATGAGACAAGATGACATAAGGATCCCTTCTGCATACGTAAGACCAACAGATCCTTTAAACAACGACGGCCTGGATACGTTCCTGAACATAGAAGAACCGTCCATAATAATAGGGTACCTAAACGCTAGATCCCCTAACTGGAACGATACAACTACAAACAGAAACGGAATAATATTAAATAATTATCTAGTGAACAACGAAGACACCATGGCAATTGGGCTATCGAACCAACATACTTTCCAAGAAATGCTCTACCAACCCATTTGTATACTTATAGTAGTGGCTAAAAACCTAGGACTACAAACAGACATCCGAACCTTAAATAAAGAATCAGGAGACCACAACCCCATACTCCTAGAAATAGGCACATGGGAAGAAGATAACAAAACAACAAGAAAGAAAACGAAGTGGTCTAATTGCAAACGACTAGTGAGCATAGAAATTGGAAACGTTCCTACAATTGACAATTCACAAGAAATAGACCAAAAAGTCCTAGAGCTAGAAAACATTATGAAACAAGCACTAAGGAATAACACTACTTAAGCAGAATATGAAATTTACATGGGAAGATTTAGAGCCATTAATGAGGAAATAAAAGAAATGATAACAAAAGCCAGAAGAACAAGAAATCAGGAAGATAAAATAGGACAAATCGACTGAATCGACAAGTCAAATAGGCACTAATAGAATATAGAAGTGAACAGTGGGACAATTACGTAAAAGAAATGGAGGAAAGGAGCCAAAATATGCAAGAAATATGGAGGCTTCAAAAAACTTTAAGAAGTGATAGAAAATGTCTCTTCATCTCCACCACTACACGGAGAAAACGGAATCGTCTACTCAGTAAAAGAGAAAGCCGAATTGATAAGAAGGACTCTTGAGAGAGAGAGAGAGAGAGACATACAAAGTGAGAGATTATGGATACAGCAATAAATACCTAGGTGTCACAAAGGACCAAGGTCTAACATTCACACTACATGTTAACGTGACAGTCCATAAAACAAATTATCAAGACTGATAAACAGCATCATACTACCAATAATTATATAATTATATATGAATAACTTGCATGGGGACACACAAGTCACAGCAACAAAAAGAAGATTCAAGCAGCACACAACAACTGCCTTAGAGAAGCTGAAAACGTGCCCAGAACGGTTGATATTCAGAGACCTAAAACAAATAAGGGTACTGGATATGATGGAGGAAAAAGCAAGAACAAAATTTGCTGAGTTAGAAGACCACCCAAACCGGATCCTGCAAGAGATATTAAGGTAGGATGTGTACCATAGATGGAAACACAGAAGACTCAAACAGCAAACATATAATAAAGTCTACATTTGGCATAGCAGTGAATTTACTAATTGTTTTTAGTGTTTTACGTCTAAAAACACCAAAACGGTTCGGCAAAAAAGTTAATAAAACTAAAAAGGCACAGCCAAAAATACAAAACCTAAAAAGGAAGAGGGGCCCACATTCTCGAGCGCCGAGTCACCGAACTGGGCATAGCCCAGAGCGGGGATTCGAGGCTCGAGCAAGCAATACAGATCCATGATAAGTCACTAGAGATAGCGGGAATAAAGTGCCTTAAGCTGGACTGCATTGTTCGGGGTAGGATTTCGTGTGGGAGGTCTTGTACCCAGCATTCCCACTTAACAAGCCCTTTGCTGATAAGAGAGCCTCTATAGCGCTATTGGGACGAAAGTGGATGGTCTGTAGCATTGGAGCGAGGTGGAGCGACTCTTGTTTACGAAGTTAATCTTGTCCATTTCAATGAATTATATCACTCTAATTTTTTCTCTTACTAGAGTGCCCGATGCCTCTTTTTTTATATACAGATGTATTCTATCTAATTTTGTTATACATAAATTTGATTTTAATAACACTTTTAATTATGATCCAAATTAAAAAATATATAGATTTGTACTACCAGATCGTAAACGCACGTTTTGTATAGTGGAATTTATAAAAATTTACTTACTTAAGATGTTTTCTGATGGGTTTTTTCTGTACTATTAACAGCATTTGCTGATGTATCTGGGTATTGATTAATATCCAATTTCAATAAATCCATAGTAACACCAACTGCACCCCTAAAATAAACGTAATCACTTAAAATGATGAAAAGGTTGCCAATGTGATAGTAGGTATATGGGAAATGAGTGACTACTCACAGTGACTCACAGTGACTACTCACAGTCTCGGGGTGTAGAGCTAGTTCGCGTCCGAAAATAGCGAGGAATTATATCAGAGCTTTCTTGAAACTGGCGACCAAGAAATAGCGGATGAACTACTGTACAGCCTAGACGCCGCTAGAAGACAAAAGTGGACCGAAGCAGTAGAAAGTCTAAACTTCCAGAAATCAAACAGACAGGCATGGTCATTACTAAGAAAATAGGGAGTGGTGTCCGTAAGAAACGCCAAGAGGCAGCCGTAAAGCCAGATGCCATAGCATCACATATAGTGGAAAACATCCAGAGCACCAAAGGATAAAGCACACACCATCTACGTAAAGAGAGAACTTAAAACTTTAAAACATGTAGCCACAGAAACGGAGCATTCCCTCCCCTTCACCAGCGAAGACATATCAGAGGCTCTAAAAGATGTTAAGCCAGCAAAAGCACCAGGATTTGATAATATTCACCCTGAATTCCTACTAAATTGTGGCAAGTATACAAAAGTTTGGTTGGCTCGATTTTTCACAGACATCATGGAAACTGGAAATATCCCACAAGAACTAAAGCGCTCTAAGATAATAGCCATACCAAAGCCAGGCAAACCCGCTGACAACCCAAAAAACTACAGACCAATTGCGCTTCTCTCTGCTATCTAAAAACTATTAGAGAGGCTTATATATAATAGAATCAGTACAGAACTGTTCCAGGTGATCCCAGTCGAACAAGCGGGTTTTCGACCAGAACGAAGCTGCGCGGACCAGGTCATGTCACTCACCACCTACATCGAAGCGGGTTTCCAAAGAAGACTTAAAACTTCAGCGGCATTTATTGATCTCTCGGCAGCTTACGATACAGTATGGAGAGAGGGCCTTATATACAAAATTATCCGTGCAATTTCCTGTAAACAAATAGCACGTTTAATAGATAGCATGCTCAACGACCGAATGTTTCAAGTAGTGATGGGCACAGATATCAGCCCACCAAAGAAACTTAAGAATGGCCTACCACAGGGGTCAGTGCTCTCTCCATTACTATTTAGCTTATATTTAGCAGATATGCCAGAAACACAATCAAGAAAGTTCGGATACGCCGATGACTGGGCCCTCACTACACGATGCAGAACACTAGAAACATCTGAAGAAGTTCTGACGGCAGACTTATATATATTGAGCAAATATTTTCGCAAGTGGCGGCTTCAACCAAATGCATCCAAAACAGAAGTAAGTTGCTTTCACCTGAACAATAAACTTGCTGGAAAGGAACTCAACATACGCTTTGAAAATACCACACTTTCTCATAACAAAACACCGAAGTACCTGGGCGTAACACTAGACAGAACGCTATCATTTAAAGAGCATTTAACAAAAACTGCCCAAAAGTTGAGTACAAGAAATAACATTATACAGAAGCTCTGCGGTACCACCTGGGGAGCATCGGCTTCCACTCTCCGCTCTACTGCTTTAGCCCTTGTTTTCTCGACCGCTGAATATTGTGCCCCAGTTTGGCTACACAGTCCACACGTAAAAAAGGTCGACACTCAGCTGCACAGCACTATGAGGATGATAGCTGGTACAATTAAATCAACTCCCACCCAATGGCTTCCAGTATTAAGTCACATTCCACCTCCACATTTACGACGAGTTGACGCACTTACACGTGAATACAAAAAGATCATGAACAATATAAACCTGCCGATCCACCAAGATACCGAGGATGCACGAAATACCCGTCTACGTTCTAGAAAACCACCAATGAAAACGGCAAGAATGATACATGAGGAGTTCAACATCACGAATGCATGGTCCCAAGAATGGAATGCATGGCAAAATAACATGCCCTGTATTACCCACAAGCCACCAGGTTTTGATCTTCCACGTAAAACATGGTCCACTCTAAACAGGATCCGAACCAGACATGGCAGATGTGCATACATGCTACATAAATGGGGAAAGAATCCGTCTCCCCAATGTGACTGTGGGAAGGACCAAACGATCGACCACATTATTGAAGAGTGTCCCTCAAGATCCTATAACGGTAGCCCTGAAGACTTCCTGTTTGCAACTTCAGAGTCAATTGATTATGTTAATACACTTGATGTTTGTTTGTAATTATTTAAAGTTTGTCATATACCTATATTACTAGTGTTTGTAATTTTGTTCTAAATGTGTTGTAATTGCCATACGAATAAATAAAATAAATAACTCCACAGTCTCAAGTAGTTTTTAATCTAATAAAAAGGATGGATTAGCATGTTTAAAAAAGGAATCATATTATCAGCCTCTCTTCTCAACCGTAAACTTTAGGTGTTCACATTTGGGCATTAAAACGTGTTTTAAAACATCAGTTACCTTGTTTTCAGGGACCGATAGAATCAAATCATCTAACATAACGTTTAATAAATGGTATGTGAAAAAGGTATAGTTTTCTTTACATCGTGGCAATGATGGCATGCTAAGGACGGAGTTGGTATCGTAAACCTTGTTTTCAGTAACCGTTTCATAAACTTTTTATTCTCAACATCCATCTAAGATGAAAACAAATTTGGTTTTGGCTTTTGAAAAACTAGGGTTATCAATTTGTCACACATAGAATTCAGTGACAAGGACTAAAAAAGTTGAGATCCATACTACAAGAGAATTCTTATCCCATAGGGCTGTTAAATAAACTCATTTTCGGGTCTCCTTTTCCTTCACAAGTTTCTGTTAACCAAAATTTTCATAACAATTGAGATCCGACAATTGACATTGACACATAACAGCATCAATATTACCATCTAAAATAACTTATGGTTGCCTACCCTATATTCACATTTATTGACACCTAAGCTAATATGAACATCTTTAAAAAAATGTTAGTGGCTTAAAAATTACAACCAAAAATGTGAAAAACAGTATCGAAGCTTTACACACAAAAACAAAAGATCCTTTACAAATACAGGAGTTCATACGAATGTGTTTTATTCTATACCGTGTAGTAACTGTAATAAAATTTACATAGGAGAATCATCTCGTAATTTTCACAGCAGGTGTATATCACATCGCAGTGATATAAAAACCAAAAAAAAATCAATGCATGTGCATTGACAGAACATTGCACTAACTCTAAAACATGAGTTCAATTTCGATGATTCCTGTATTTGGGCAAAAGAAAAGAACCATTTAAAACGTATTTTTTTGTGAAATGTGTTTCATAAAATCTAGCACATCTTTGCATCAATAAAAAGTCCGATATAGACAAATTAAAGTAACATTTATTGTTATTTACTAAGAAAACACCAAAAATAAAATATAAATATTTACCTGGACAAAAATTACACCTCTGTATAATATGTTGCATACCATTAAGACAGGTTAAAAAAGTATAGACACCTAAGGAGGGCTCTAGTATTTCTTATAAAGAAAGATAACATCAATTTACACCTAATTACATATTAATTACACTGTTTTTTCTTTCCATTCTCTGTATGAGTTAATATACACCAGTAAAACATGCCAATCAATCAAGTTTTACTATTGAATTTTACAACAAATTTTAAAAAATTTTATGATGTATTATGTCCATAATTGTATATTTTAATGTGTGGTATAAATGTTGAGTGTTCAATGCTTACAAAAATAATCTCAACGACTAGTAAGTTACACTGAAGAATTGTGATATTTTTTAAATATTTTACATAATTGTCTTTTACAGTGTCTTGTGAAAAAGGAATAAAACCATTCCGAAAGCTCGACAAAAAGTTAAAAGAGTGTTTTTTTTTAACATCCCGGCCAATATTCTGACTGCATCCCTAATAAAACTGAGTTGTTTGTTTATATCGACAGTCACTAATATCCAGTATTTTCTTATATATATATATATATATATATATATATATAATATATATATATAGTATATATATTATAGGAGGATATATATATATGATATAAGGTATATATATTTATAAAGTATATATATATAATTTATATAATATATTATATATATTTAAGTACAAATTAAACCTAGTAGCTAAGATCAATACCATTACAGGAATTAATATTAAACTCAACAGTCTTCCGGGTTAAACCGCCTTGGTTATCATTTCGCCGAGCTTTCGACATCCTCTTCGATGTCTTCTTCAGGGCTTCCGAGGTCTCAGCCTCCCGAGCCCCCACACACTACTACATTGATAACTAATCAAGGACGTTACTGGTGCTGGGAATAGAGGAAGGGTCATTTATACCGTCGAAGATTTCTGACAGTGGGCTTTCATGAGCTCATCACCATCGCCAGTAATTACTAATATCTTTATGGAAGACTGAATGTTATATATCCTAGTATCCAGTGCAGGATGGAGGTGGAAACTGATTTCATCCCTACCGTTTTCTCGACGTTATCATAAAGAGAAACCAATCAAAAGGTTTTCATCACTGTGTTTATTGAAAACCCACCCATACCAATCGTTACTTGCATGCCAACTCTCATCATCCCCCTTCAAAAATTAATTTAGTCATTAATACGCTTGTTTCCAGATCAATACGCCTTTGCGATGATGCAAGTAGACTCGCTAAGCTCTCTAGTTTAAAACAAGCAGTAATCCAAAACGGTTACCGTGAAATTCACATTCAATAGGAGCATCCACAGACATCAATCTCCCACTCAATATCAACCCAAAGATTGAGACCTTAATCATTCGAAACCTTTTCTTTCTTACATCAAAGGTGTCACTGACAAAATCGATAAAATTCTAAAATCAAGAAGTATAAAGACAATATTTACCCCCCAACAAAAACTTTCATCTCTTCTAAGATCAATCAAAGACAAATTCCAAATGGACAACACGGAGTTTATGAAATTCCTTGTGCAGACTGTCCCCGATCCTATATAGGCCAAACAAATCGTAGAACCCAAAATAGGATTTATAAACATTCCATTTCTGTTCGCAATTCTGACTCAATTTCAGCTCTAGGTTAACACTATCTTCATAGAGGTCACAAAATTGATTTTGAAAACTCCAGAACCATAGCCCGCACCCGTTTCTATAAACCAGGAATTATCCGAGAAGCCATTGAAAGCCCAGAAATTGAAAAAAGGCCAAATTGTTTTAATAAAAGAGATGACGGCATACGGTTACTTCGACTTGGGAGACCTATCATCAAGAAAATACCGTCTACTCCGCCCGTCGGTCAAAATCCCACTGTCAGAAATGTTCGCACCAATCTCCACGCTGGCCCCCATGCTAATCTCCACCCAAGCCACGTGACCATCGACGGTATAAATGAGAGTTTCTCTATTACACAGTAACGCATTGATTAGTGATCAGTTTAGTACTGTCTGGGGCTCGGGAGACTAAGATCTCGGAAGCCCTGAATAAAACGTCGAAGAGGATGTCGAAAGCTCGGCGTAATGATAACCAAGCAAAATATTATGTAGGTCAATACTTACTTGAACTCAAGTTTGGCTTTAAGACTGTCCCAACCAAAGAATGGCACCACATACTTAATTTTCCACATAGGAACCTTTCCGTAGCAATCATAGTACGGTTGCGTCCAATGTCCATGTTCTAATCTTGCACCTCTATAATAGGTTGGAAAATGTTCAAATTTCATCGTGGTTTCTCCAATCTCGTTGAATCGTATCATAATTTTCAACCAGAATTTTTCTAAACTATTTAAATTAGAAGCCCATCGATATTTTAAATCTTTAAACCACATATTGTTTAGGTAAACTTCGGATGGTTTGTCCAGTCTGGCTAAATCTTCGACATTATAATAATTCATCGTGTTTAGTATTCTCTTGTAAGCATAAGGTGCAAAGAGCGTTCGATTTGGAAATTTATTTCTTTCCCAATATGTCCCAGCTGACGAAATGCGACTATTTCCTGAAACATTAACGAATACACAACTTTATTATCCAAAAAGTTCTAACATATAACACGTAAAGCTGAAATAGTAAAAGAATAATTGAAAATAATATATACTTTTGTATAGAGATAAGAAAAGTTTTAAGAAGGAAAAGGAAGGTAAAACCGGTGTAACATTTACACGGAGCAAATATTGAAACATTTTCAAAAGTGCGACTAAGGAAAATGGAAGTTTGAAGGTTTTAAAATTTCACTTGTACTGTCGCCCCTCTTGTAAAAAATAAGCATAAGCTGCTTAATATTGCATTTTCAATTTTAGAAGGTTGTTAAAATTGAGGATAAGAGAATTTGACTGTTATGTGATAAGTACATCTTGCGTTTTCTGTGCAAGGTAAGTTGTTTTAAATCGTGGTTAACTAACTTTATTGAAATATTGTGTTATATTTTGCTTTAATTAAATGAAAACATCCATAACTTGTTTTGAGGTTAACTTTGCCATGTGTCAATGTTACACTACTGTATAGTGTCAATTTCAAAATCTTGATTATTAGGTACCTACTTACTTACATGCAAGTTTTTTTATAGCAACAGTGTGGGTAAAAAAAGGAGATCCTACAAAAACATACACTAGAGTGAAAGGATGGAAGCTGCCGTGAGTGCTGTTAAGAACGGTGGTATAAGCGTATAAAAATGAGCTACTGATATGTATGTCATTAATCTTGTCCTTTATTGAATCATGTAAAAAAGTTTAAATGTAAAGATGTTGGAAAACCTACGTTATTTATCAAAGAAGAAAAGCGCGCGTCTCACCAATCTCTCTGACCTCTGTGCAGTTAATACACGTGGTTTTCCACTTTTTGGATATGATATTCACCGCTCGCACTCCGCTATTATTTGTTGTATAAATGGTTCTGCGTAAACTGTAGTCATTTAAAATATTCGACAGCTTTGGGTAACCACTCAACCAACTTGTAGATACTTTTCCTTATTTCTAATTTATTGGTACATTTTAAAAAGAAAAACTTAAAAATAAATAAATATTAACTGACAGTAACAAGAAAATAAAAAAATCCGTAAAATAGTTTCGAAAACACAATTCAGATTTCTCGATTATAATCTGAGCCTTCATACAAAATTGCAAGGCAAACATGACGTTGATAAAAGATTGTTAAAGGGGGACATGAGGAATCATAAAATTTGCATTCCACGACATTGTCCTTTACAAACTAAGCAGAAATCCTTAGCGAATGTGCTTCTAGTACTCAACACAGAGTAAATCCGAATAAAATGAAAAAAAAAAACGCAAATATTTGATTTCACGCAAACAAATCCTATGTAATCTGTTGATACGTATTTCGACCGAATAGGTCTTGTCGTGGACTTCGGTAAAAGACATGGTCGTGGAATACAAATTTTAGATTCCCCATGTCCCCTTTAACATCTTTTTATTCAACGTCTGTTTGCCTTGCAATTTTTAGAAGGCTCAGATTATAAGCAGAAATCTGAATTGTGTTTCGAAAACTATTTTACGGATTTTGTAATTAGATGTCGCTAGCGCGTCCGTATTAAAGCCATGTTATTGTTGCTTCTTAAAAGCAGAAAATAAATTTGATTTTTTCACGTTGAGAACTCCTTTGAATAGGCTGTTCTGACGAGATCTATTAGGTCGAAATACGTATCAACAGATACATGAGGATTTTGTTTGGCGTGAAATCAACATAGTTTGCTGCTTTTGTTTTTCAAAGTAAATACACTTTTGTTTCCAAAAGCAACTTGATATTAGTTTGTTTTTGGTAAACTTAAATCCAATTAATTTTGTACCAAAACTTTTAGGATATACATTATTAACAAGTTTTTTGACGGTAGATCTATGTAAAAAATGTAGTTTTCGTAATCTTTTAGGGTAGTTTTAATTTGGAAAACCGTCGCGTTTGTTATTTTCAGACTGGCATAATAGTAAAGCCGAAAGTGCTTTGCTTCATGCTAAAACAATTTACAAACTTCAAAAGTACATACATCTCATCTTAAAAAATATTTTTCTCGAATAGAGAAAAGCGTTAGGGATATTATACAACCATTTGCAAATAATAATGACACATTTATAAAGAATAGACAACATTTTTTAAATAAATTATCGAATATTGAATTTAACTCAAATAACATTTTAGTAAGTTTTGACATAAATAGTTTATTTGAAAATGTGCCAATCACAACAAAATTAGGGAACGGTGATACATTGACAACTAGGACGAGACTAAATGTATTAGTTATAATGTGGTTATTGACATTTTATTTTAAAGTAAAATTGTGGCTTATTTCCAACAAAAATAGTAAATTGCATTAAGATGCTACAACAAAATAGGTTTAGAACAATATCAATTTAATATTGATGGTTAATGAGATAATACAAATAAAGAGGTTTACCCAACACTAAAGCCAAAGTTTCTCCAATCATTTGATCTTCTGTGAGCTCCCTATCGGCTACTCTTTTCCCAGAATAAACTTCTTTAGGATCGGAAACTTGTAGGAAAGCACTAATGAAGTTTGCAAGTCTGAGTGCCATTTTCGCTTCATTTTCGAAAAATTCCTTTGCTCCGTGGACGATTCCTCCATTTAATTGTAGGTCTTCGGGTTTGTACTTTCTGCAATTATCTTTGTTCATACTTACAATATAATCTAAAACCCGATGGATGTTCATTTCAGGTTGGCTCAAGTTGGCTGGGCAGTAGATTGGTTCTTGGACTCTGTGTATTTATCTAATACTACTTCTCTTAAATGTGGCTCAGAACGTTCCCGTTGTAAGGGTAGTTTTTGAATCGCTATAATAGAAAATAATATTTTAAAATATAACTTCTCTATTATTCTTATAAGATCAAGACTTTATTAGCAACTCTTACAGAAAATTAAACGTTAATGGTACTAATTATTCCTAATTGAATTTGAACTACCGTAGAATGGGGTGACTTTGATTCTATAAGGTGACTTTGATAAAACATGAATATTTTGTTTCAAGAGAGTATACAACCCAAATGTTTCGTCCGTTATGGTGGTTGTCTGAACTTTATTTCAGTGCACATGTTGATTCACTATAGCAAAAGGTGTTTGTGGCCAATATCAAAAGTATACGGTTGTAAATTCACCATTGAAGTTTTTGTTTGAATTTGAAGATTTTATATTGTGTTACTAAATTTAAACATACAGCTCTTACAATAGAATTGCAGGTAATTTTGTGTATGTTGCCTTAATGTAGGTCTAGTTGTCACTATTTTAAAATATTTAACCTAACTTATTTCCGTAACTACTCCATGAAATTGAATGATTTCTTATCCGGGGTCACTTTGATACATTTTTCGGGGTGACTTTGATACTTTATTTCTTTTTATAGTTTGCTTAATGAAACTTCAAACCGTTAATTATTTTCAGGATTTCGTCATTATCTGCATGAAAAGAAAAAATGCCGCGAGTTTATAAACGAAAGTTGGGATCAAGAAGCTACAAGAACTTCTCTGACGAAACTCTTGAACATGCTCTGCTTCAAATAGTAAACGGAAACTTGTCTGTTAAAGCCGCTTCAGAAAGATTTAAAATTCCGTATGGTACTTTATATAATAAATACAAAGGGAAGCATGTGAAGAAGCCAGGGGGCCAAACTGCGTTGACGGAGCTGGAGGAAAAATCAATCGTGTCCTGCATTGTCAAATGTGCAGATTGGGGATTTCCATTATCGACGCTAGATGTACAACTTTTCACTAAGAGTTATTTAGAAAGAACTGGAAGAATTATCTCTAAATTTAAAAACGGGGTAAGTCCTGGTAACGACTGGGTAAAACTTTTTTTAGAGAGACATAGTCAGCAAATCTCTGAACGACTTGCGTCTAACATTACTAGAGCTCGGGCAGGTGTCACAAAAGAAACGATAGAATCATATTTCAATAATTTAAGAACAACTCTCTCAAATTGCCCTCCATCACACGTTTTCAATTACGATGAAACCAACGTTAGTGATGATCCGGGGAAAAGAAGATTGCTTTATAGAAGAGGGACCAAATATCCAGAACAAATCACTAATCATAGTAAAGCCGCCACATCAATAATGATGTGCGGTGCTGCTGATGGTACACTACTCCCTCCTTATATAATATATCGCAGCGAACATATGTGGGATGCATGGACATTAGGAGGTCCACAGGGCTCTCCTTGTTGTAGTAGTGGATGTTGCGCAAGAGGAGCTAGATATAACCGAACAAAAAATGGGTGGATGGAGGTAACTTGTTTTACAGACTGGTTTGAGACCATATTATTACCCCACGCAAGACGGCTGGAAGGTAAAAAAGTTATGATCGGCGACAACTTGGCGTCTCACTTTTCAGATCATGTTTTAGAATTGTGTGAATTGCACAATATTGAATTTGCGTGCCTTCCCAGTAATTCAACACACATATGCCAGCCTTTGGATGTGTCTTTTTTTAAACCCATGAAAGTCTCTTGGCGAAAAGTTTTGACGGAATTTAAATTGCGACACCCAAAAATTACTGGTGTACCTAAAGATCAATTTCCGTCGTTATTAAAAAAATGCTTGGAATTAATGGATCAGACAATTGCAAAAACTGAGTACAAATGTGGAGATTGTGAAAAAAGTGCAATTAAGAGAGTTTTGAAGAATGGGTTCGAGGCTTGTGGCATGGTCCCTTTCGATCCAAATAAAGTCTTGAGTAAGATTACACCAATCAACCATGATGTTGATTATGTAGAACCTCTGATTAACGACAGCCTCACAGACTATCTGATGAATAAGAAGTCCGAGATAGAAGTTACTAAACGGCAAAGTAAAAAGAAACTTCATATCCAACCTGGTAAAAGTGTAAGTCGACATATAACGGCAGATGACAGCTCCTCCGATAGCGAGTTAAACAGCTATAATAGTGAAAGCGAAAATGAAATTGAAAATGAAGATTCTGTGGAGGACCAATCATATGAAGATGAGATGAATACAAAACCCTCCCTTGCTGAATTGAATGTTGGAACTTACGTGCTTGTAAAAATTATGTCAGGTAAACAAAAATGTAAAAATTACGTATATGCCGGAAGGATACAAGAGAAATTACCTTTTGACGAATACGAACTCATTGGACTTAAATCACTGGATGAGACCCATAAACATTTTAAAGTTGTGGAGACCGACGTTTTTAACGCTCCTTTCGATGATATCTTAGCAATTCTGAAGACCCCATCGGTTGAAACAAATGAAACAGCAACTACATGTACATTTCCTGGCAGAGTTGATGTTAAAGAAAAATAACTTTGATTTTGTTTCCGTTCAAAATACATTCTTTTGGCTTTTTTTACTATTTTATACTGTTTTACTAATTTGCTAAAATGTTTTTTACCTGAATAAAGTATTAGCTACCTGTAAAATTATTTATTATATACTAATTATTGTGCCTATAGCAGCTGTCAAAGTCACCCCAAAAATTAAAATTGAAATATCTAAAAATTGGCTTGATCGATTTAAAAATGGGTTGACATTGACACCATTACAGCTTTTATGCATCGTCCAAGCTATTTTAAAATAGGGTATCAAAGTGACTATTTGAGATATACCATTACTTATTTTTTTGAGAAAATCCTAATCTAAAGATATATATATTATATATTTTAGATTAAGGATTTAGATATCTATATTTTCTTTTTCTACTCTTATATAATATATATATATATATAGTATAATATATATATATATATATATATATATATATATACTAACAGTATAAATTACATAAACATAAGATGAATCCCAATGGACATTTTTCCACATTTTTGGGATCACCCATTCAAAAGTTACGTAAGAAAATATAAAAAAAATTAACAAAGTCACCCCGTTCTACGGTACTGACACAATGCATACATGAATGAACCACTAAGAAGTGGTGAAATTTTAAATATGTACTTTAACATAATTGAAATAAATGTTCATCTTTTAGTCAAATATTGTTCTACGTATTTTCTCCTTCCAGATCTTGCGATGTTTTTGTTTAGTTTTAATACAGTTGGATACTCGTTTTGGTGGTGTTCCTTATGCTAGTTTCTTTTATACCTATTATATATCTTTTCCAAAATATATTCAAAAGTTGTTATGAAAGACATAAAGGAACTTTAACACTAAAGAAACAACTAATATCATAAAAACAAAACAAAAGCCTAAAAGTTCTAAAACGAAAGTTGAAGATATGAACGAGGGTTATTTATAAGTTAAAACATAAACAAGGGCATTTCATATATGAACATCAAGAGATCCTGAAAATCATCTAAGAACAGAACATTATATAGTCTTTACATTCCAGCGGTAGAAATCTCAGCAATACAAAATCAAGGATCAGAGAAACTTCCAGAAAAAATGGAAGGGGAAATTAAATCAGAGCTAAAAAGTGTGAAGAACAACAAAACACCTGGAAAGGATGGCATTGTAAGTGAAGTGATAAAACTAGGAGGTGAATGTCTCATTAAAGCTTTGAAAGTTCTTTATGATTCTTCCTTCTTTAAAGGAATTACACCAGAAAATGGAATAGTGCCATTATGGCATTATGATAATATTGCATAAAAAAGGAGATATAACAGAAATTAGAAATTACAAACCTATCAGCTTGTTATCTCATTTATATAAGCTCTTTACGAGATCATCAGACCACAGTCCATGTTACCTCATAATGATGGTCCCCATTATCCCGTAGTAATCTCTATTACCTGTTATCAGAAGTTTAATGCTTTTATTAATTGGTTTTTCAGATGAGAAATTACAAGAGAAAACGTTATGTACCTGATTTGACGCAAGAGAGATGCAGAAGCGACTATTAGGGCAACACGCAACGGAACAAGCATTAGAGAAGCTGGTAGGAGATTTAAAATACCGAAAACTTGTTTATTTAGACGAAGGAAGCAAACCGAAGGAAACACGCTGGGCCCTATATTAATAAAGATGATGATGATATGTTTGGATCTTATTTGTAGTTTATGATAAATCAATGAGCAAAAATACTTACATCCAATCTTCTGACAGTCAAATCCGTTGTGATACTGTTCAGCAGTTGCCCATTCAACCTTCTCTCCGAGAACGGCCTTGGACGTATGTAAAGGAAGCCTATATCCTGGTAGGCAACGACATTGGTAACCACCTCTACGGAATCCCCATCCATGTATTGGCTCGCACTAAAAAATGTAATATGAACAAATCTGATGAACTTACAGCGAAATGAAGAACTTTTTTTAAAACGTTAAAATTTAAGCGACATTTTCATTTTTAAGACATTTAAAATGCAGTCCAAAATTTTTGGAAAAGTGGCTAGTTTCAATTACTAACTACGCGTTCACTACTGATGGTCTGATAAGACCATCAGATAACTCCAGGTAAATATACTTTAAAATGTCTTACTAACAACCAAATTAAAGTTCAAGCAGACTCATCCAAAAACTATTCATTATTGTAAAATCTTTAGCAGAAAAAAATACTCAGTACCATACATACCAACTAAAACAAAACCGTGGATTCCGAGTTGTTATACGTAATTTACATCCTTCAACAGATCCAGATGACATTAAAAAAGCGTTGCTAGTGCAAGAACAAACAGCACTGAACATCTCCAACATTAAGCAAAGAGGCACAAAGAAAGATCTTCCACTATTTGATATAGAACTGGCCATTCAAAGTAATAATAAAGACATAATATATGATATGACAAAATTACTCAACTCTATTTTCACAGTTGAGCCCCCGCATCCGAAAACGGAACTACCTCAATGTCAAAGATGCCAGCATTTTGGCCATACACACAGTTATTGACACAGGAGTCCGCGCTGTGTAAAATGAGTGGACAATCACCTATTTTCTCAATGTCCAAAACAAAAAAAACAAAACATAAAAGATGTTCAATGTGTAAATTGTCTAGAAAATCATCCTGCTAGCTATAAGGGATGTTCAGTATACAAAGAGCTGCAGAAAAAAAAATTTCCACACAAAAAATTGTTGCAGGACGAGATAATAAGAAATACATCTACCATAGATGCGACTTCTCATGCAATAGAAACAACAACTCCTTAACATATACAAAATAAATTACTATTAAACTGGGAATAAGCCACAATTAAAAATAAAAATACGTTATTGACGTTTCAATTTCCACTTCGAAATCGTTTCTCAAAATAACTTTTATATTTAACAATTAAATTTATATTTATTAACTAAATATTTCCGAAGTGGAAATTGAAACGTCAATAAACGTATTTTTATTTTTAATTGTGGCTTATTCCCAGTTTAATAGTAATTAATTTACAATGCCACAAGAAAATAGCTTCAGAACAATATATACAAAATAATCTAGAACTAATAGTATATAAGTTAAGGGAAAGAATGGATAAGATGTTTGATCTCATAATGTCTCTGATATCTAAGCTTAACCTTCAACACTAAACTAAAGATGTGCTGTTGGAATGCCAATGGCTTTAACCACGCATTTCCATGAAGTTAAAGCATTTATTTACTCTCATAATCTATGACTAATAAGAGCCATTTATATATTCCCAAATATTCAACCTATGTTACTCAAAATCCTTAGGTAAAGCCCACGGAGGTACGGCAATTATTATAAGAAATAACATTAAGCATCATGAAATAAATAAATTCATCATGAATGTGTTGCTTGTGTTGAGTCATTTCAAATGGGTAAAGAAATAATAAATAACACTTACTCACAATCAATTTAATTTAACTATCAGATGACCGAATTCGTTTTCTACAATATGCAAAGCATCTTCAGGTCTCGATACAAAGTTAAATAAATGATGCCGGTACTCTATTAAATTGATAGATGGTAGAACATGGTTGAAACTATCATGTATTGTTGAATGGAGAACTTAATTCTGCTATTGTAGTTGTTTGACAGTAAACGGGAAGTTCTTGAGGAGATAGATTTGATCCAATGAAGTAGAGATAGGTGTGTGATTGTTTGTTAAATGAAAGTAATGTTATAATACTATTGTATTATTTAAAAGTTATTTATACTTATTCGAGAGATATATTCTTACGAGAATCTTATACAAGAAATATATACATAAATATATCTCTCGAATAAGTATAAATAACTTTTAAATAATACAATGGTATATAACATCCCTTTCATTTAACAAACAATCACACACCTATCTCTACTTCATTGGATCAAATCTATCTCCTCAAGAACTTCCCGTTTAACTGTCAAAAACAACAAAATAGCAGAATTAAGTTCTCCATTCAACAATACATGATAGTTTCAACCATGTTCTACCATCCATCAATTAATAGAGTACCGGCATCATTTATTTAACTTTGTATCGAGACCTGAAGATGCTTTGCTTATTGTAGAAAGCTAAACCGGTCGTCTGATAGTTAAATTAAATTGATTGTGAGTAAGTCTTATATATTATTTCTTTACCCATTTAAAATTAGTAAAGTTAACATCCAAGCCACATCAGTGTCTATTCTATCTGCTTTTTACTGTCCGCCGAATAAAATAATTTGTGGCTGATCATTTTACTGAATACTTTACGATGCTCGGACACCGTTTCATTACTACTGGAGATTAGAATGCCAAACATCATAAATGGAGTTCCAGAATCATAACCTCACGTGGACGAGAATTATTAAAAAGTATTAATGAGAATCATTTATTCCTTTCGCTACTGGAGAGCCCACGTATTGGCCCATCGATAGACAAAAAAAATCCTGATCTTATTGATTTCGCTGTAGTAAAAGGAATATCACATACCTATCTCCAAATTTCTCCTTCATTTGACCTTCATTCCCCTTTCTTCATAGATCTACATAGCCAAATTCATAACTGTCCTAAATATCTAATACTCTCTAATAAAAGAACAAACTGGAACAGATATAGAGAAGAAATAAAAACATTCATTAACCTATACTTGCCTCTTAAAAGTGATAGCGACATGCAGTTGCTAAGCTAAGTACAGTTATTCAGCAAGCTGCTTGGACGTCTACCCCGGAATTTAGTTACAAACACAACTCCGAGTCCTATCCTGCTCACATAAATTAACTCATATTGGAAAAAAAAAACTGCGAAAGATGTGGCAGCTCACTAGGCATCCAGAAGATAAAGCAAATCTTAATAGAGCTTGCAGACTACTCAAAAGAAAACTTATTTAACATAAAGACAATGGAATCAACAAATATTTAAAGAACCTTTCACCTGCAGATGATAGAAACTATTCGCAGTGGGAACTAACAAAAAAACTTAAACACAACGAACAAATGAATATGCCAATCAGGAAACAAAATGGCAATTGGGCTAAAACTAACATAGATAAAGCATATACTTTTGCAAATCATCTATGTAAGGTTTTTCAACCGCATCAGAGGGAAGTCTCAGTTGAAGAAGAGCAGGCTATTAACGAAGTCGTAAATGCACTATATCAAATGGCTCCACCTATTAAATCTATTAAGAAATCTGAAATCAAAGAAATAATTAGATAATCTGGAAATTAAAAGGTCACTTGGGTATGACTTAATATCTAGTTTAGTACTAAAAAATCTAACCCAACGAGGCATAAGTTTAATTATTTATATATTTAATTCAATATTAAAAACATGTTATTTCCCACTCCAATGAAAAGTTGCTCAATTATTCTTATTCCAAAACCTAATAAGGATCACCACGGAAGTATCTTCAAATCGCCCAATTAGCTTGTTGCCTACTATATCCAAAGTATTTGAACGGCATTTTCTGTGAAGACTGGAGATTATTTTATATGACAGTAATGTTTTACCCAATTATCAGTTTGGGTTAGGAAACAACATGGTACTATCGAGCAAATTCATAGGGTGGTAAATACTATCAGAAATTCGCTCGATCAAAAAATTACTGTACTGCTGCATTTTTAAATGTCTCTCAAGCATTCGACAAAGTTTGGCATGTAGGTCTATTCTTTAAAATTAAATCCATATTTCTTATTCCCTAAGCTCACTTTTAAGATCCTATCTGACAGATCGATTCATTCAAGTCAAAAGAGGTGGGAAATCACTAACCTGTTTCCAATTTGTTCCGGAGTTCCACAAGGAAACATACTAAGACCCACCCTCTACTTAATATACACATCAGATCTCCCACGACGACCAACACAACAACAACTACATATGCTGATGACACAGTTATCATGGCTTCAAATTCTACAGCAACTACACTCCACTACCAGTTAATACCGTCGTTAAATACTTAGTAATTCATTTGGATAGCAAACTTAATTGGGGTATCTACATCTGGAAGAAACACCTTCAACTCAGCTTAATCTACAGGAAAATGTATTGGTACATGAATCAAAAATCAACTCTAAGCATGGGAACAAATTTCTGATATATAAATGTATTTAAAACCGGTATGGTAATATGCAGCACAAATCTGGGTACAGCAAGTAATATCAACATATAAAAACTTCAACGATTCAAATCGAAAGTACTACGCCAGATCTGCAATGCCCCTTGGTACATTACGAACCACAGAGTACACCACGATTTACAGTTAGCGAAGCAATATCTGCTGTAAACTCTGTATACAAGACCAGACTACCCTGCAATCCAAATCCGCTGGCCACGGATCTGCTCAACATTTCACACGAAAGACGAAGACCAGACCCTTTGGACCTCTAGTAAATATGGAGAAACAGAGCATAGTGTCATAGTGCGGTGAAATAACAAGTTTTTATTCTGGTGTTTCTCTAAATCTTTTTTTGGTTTTTTTTTCATTTTTTTAGTCTTCTACTCTGTATTAAACTTTGTTAATTTGAAGTTTAAATTAATTGTTATATCATATATTACATTTTATTATGTCTTACTTTGGTGCTTGCCACTGGGCGGCTTCCCACTATGTTATTGTACATAAATTATTTTCTTCTTCTATTGTTCTGCGGTCTGAGCAACTTGTTGAACTTGGTTTTTTGGGAATTGCTACAAATATATGATTGCAGCCATTGTCTGGGGATTGTGGCAGTCTGATATATTAGATTAAAGAGTTCAACCATTACATCAATAACATCTTCATCGATGAGTTTTAATAATTCGATGGGAACCTCAACTGGTCCAGTAGCTTTAACCCTCTTTTGTGTTTTTGATGGCATAGATGACTTCTTCTCTTAATATTGGTGGTCCGGTATCCTCGGTGATTTCTAATGACAGTTCTTCTCTTTCATCATTAAATAGTTGTTAAATGTAATTGGTCCAGTGACATAATCTCTCCTTCATATCAGTAATAATATCCCCTTTACATTTTAAGGATATTCGTTTTTGTACGCTTTCTAGAACCTGTCATTTCTTTGATTTTTTTGTGTAAATTAAAGCTATCGTACTTTTTATCCAGATCTTCTATTTCCTTGCATCTGTCGGAGAGCCACCACTCTTTTGCCTCTCGAGTTTTCTTTCTGATGTTTTCTCTGAATTTCTTTGTATTTTATTCAGGTCTTTGCTTCATGTTTTCTTCGTTCTTCCATGAGTTCAAGAATTTCTACTGTCATCCAAGGTTTTGTTTTTTCTTTAAGTGGTTTGAGGGTTTCTTTTCTAACTAAACAAAGGGCATGTTGAATTTTTCCCCATTTTGGTCAATAGTTAGAGTTTCTGCATTATCTTCTTTGACTTTCCTTAAGCTCTCGTTTATTTTAAATTTGGTTTCCACATATGTGTTGTCTTGTTTGAGACGTCTTGTATCTATGATTTTCTTGGTGCTAGGGCTGTTGACCTTCTTTAGTTTCACTCTCATCGACAAAACAACCGGGTTGTGGTCGGAGGATATTCCACTCCTGGATAAGTTTTAGATGATATTATAGAATTTCTATATATTCTGATGACGATAATATAATCTATTTGATTTCTGACTATTTTGTTGTTATTGTCAGCTGGTGACCTCCAATATATAGTCTACGTTTAGGAAATTTGAACAAGGTATTTGTAATTATGAGTTCCCCATTGACACAGAAATCGACAAGCCTATCGCCACGTTCATTCCTTTCCCCGAGTCCATATCGCCCACGCAATTCTCCACTTCTCCTTGGCCAACTTTAGCGTTCAAATTGCCCATTATAATATTTATATCTTGTCTTTTAGTTAGTCTTAAGACATTGTCGATTTGTTCATAGAAGGCCTCTATGGTGTCTTCATCCTTGTCTGCAGTGGGTGCATATACTTGGATTATATTTATTTTACATTTTAAATGAGAGTTTAGAGACAGCATTAATACTCGATCAGAGTAGGGAACAAAGTTACACACAGCTTTCTGAGAATTCTTATCAACTATAATGCCAACTCCCGTTTGTGCTTGTAATCGTTGTTTCCAGAATAATACATCGTTCCATTTCTGGTCTTACATTTTCCTGATTCAGGCCATTGTATATCACTAAGGCCCAGTTATAAATTATACATATTGCTTATTGTTTGTAATGAGACAGATAGCAATAAACATTGGATGTTAAATAAAAAAAAAAATAAAATCTATATCTGCCTGTCCGTCCGTAAACACAATTTCTCCGGTACTATTATAGATAGAATGACAAATGAGGTATCAAATGAGAGCTCGTAATCCAAAGATGGTATTAAATGCACATCCCGCAATATCTCAAAGCTAACTCAAATTATATTTTCTAAATAAATAAAATATTTTTATAATAATGCATAAGGACAAATTTAATGGTTAAAATAGGTTTATGAACATGTCAATTTCCACCTCGGAAAATTTTCTACTATCTACTATCTACTATCTACTATCTACTATCTACTATCTACTATCTACTATCTACTATCTACTATCTACTATCTATTATCTACTATCTACTATCTACTATCTACTATCTACTATCTACTATCTACTATCTACTATCTACTATCTACTATCTACTATCTACTATCTACTATCTACTATCTACTATCTCCAGAAGAAGAATCCATTATATATTCGAAATACTGAATCACTAATTGATAAAGAAGGAAGAAAAAAGTTAAATATAATTCAGTTTTTACCTCTGTCGTTTCCTTTTTACACCTAGCCGTATCTGCAAAGATATTTGGTCCATTATTTCCTATACCTGGTGGGCATTGATTAATATCTATCTTATCGAATTCCATCTCAACCACCGACGCTGCTGTATATCTATAATAGATTAAGATTACCATACAATAATTGTGGCTTAATCCCCTAAAAAATATTTAACTTAACCATGCCATAAGAAAGTAGTTTTGGTACATAAAGTACTTCGGATTGTGGCGTAAATGTGCCAAAATATCTCGGGAAACATTTAATGAATTCAGTATTTAATTCGATTGGAAGGCGGACCTAATACGCCACATCGATATATTTTTTATTTATTTCCAGGATACTCCAGGCCATATTTAGAAAATAAACTGTTGTACAAATAAGGATCGATGACATGGTTTGACACAAGATTTTATTCCAAATTGGAAAAAATATCAAACGATAGTGTAATAAAATAGAAAGCATTGTAAACGTTTGTTGAAACCGAATACACCCACAAGAATTTGTTGGTGACATTTAATATGCGTGCATGAAAATGAAATACACCCCATTAATGAATTAATCAAGGGTAGATAATACATAAAAAGGCTTTTAATATTAAATTTTTCTCGAGACTATGCTATTTATAAAAGGAATGCACTGGTTAACAATACTGATTTATAACTTTTTTCAACTAAAGTAATAGCAACAAAATTATTTTTAATAATAAAAAGTTTCATATATTTGACATGCAAATCAGAACTGATAAATTTAATTTTACAATACGCCTGCGTCAATGTATTGTTTGCAGTTTTTACACTGTATGAAATAGAGTACTGCCTACTAACTGTTTTTAACCCTTACCCTTACCTGGTGATCCTATTTTTAATTACATAAATGGTGACCATGAGTCTGACAGATTCCTGGCTCAAAAAATGCTGTTTTTGTCAAGCTGGCACCCAAAAATGCAATAAAACAGCTTTTAATAATAAAACAATATGTAATGTCATTTTTATTTAGTGAAAAAGAAAAAAATTAAACTGTAGGACTTATAACAAAAACAGAAAAAATGGTAACATCTTTTATAACACAAATTTTTTACAGTCATATTCCAAAAAATTTAAACATATACAAACAAATATATGTATATTTAAAAATAGGTATATTTTATATAAAAAAATAATTAAAAACAACATAATTGCAATACTGTTGTCGTGCATAAATATGCAGTCTTTCTTCTTAATTCGGATGGACAGATGTAACAATATTTTCTTATTTCGAGCTTTTCTTCTTCGTTGGCCTTATTTTCGGAAATATCAAGGATACTTCCGATCAGTTCTTTCAGCTGCCTTTGCAAATGTTGGAGTTTCATATCTTCTATGCAAATGTGAGGAAACGAGTTAATCGCCCAGGGTTTCTATAACTTTTCATCTAATCCAATTATTTGGATGACTGTATGAATTTATTCCACATACGTCTACTATTTTATAAAAAATAGCCATGGGCCATCTAGTGTTCTGCGGCTACAGTAATATTTTACACACTTTTCTCCATCGTGTCTACACCCCTTTTGTCAAGTTGTAAAAGAATTTATTTCTGGTAGTCCATTATCTGCATCTACTTCTATGGAATTATCTTCTTCTTTGTCAACCATTTTCCATCCACTCCTGAATGTAGGTCTCTCCAATTGCTTCCATCTTTCTCTATCTTGCGCCAATCTAATCCACTGTTTGCCTGCCCTGCTCTTATGTCATCTACCCATCTTTTTTTAGGTTTCCCATGCTTCTTATTGTCGTCCTTTATTTTTCGTAGTTGTATGAGATAAAAGTGTTAGGTCCTTCGTAAATCCATACAAAGTGTCACCTTCATTACGATTTGGTCGCGGAAGGAACTGTGGAGGAATTTCTTTGTTATTTCTTCGGATTGTACCACCGTAAGTGAGTTTATGTTGTAGATGATGTACTTAATCAACTGAACTAAACCAGTTGTCGCCAGTTTTATTTCTATTAGTATTGTAAAGATGTTTGACTAATCTTATAACTGCTTGAGTAGGTATGCTCATTCTTCTTTCTTCATTTGAGGCTAAATCCATCTGAACCTCTCCCAGCATAAATGTAAGCATTATTTAAATACCCCAGTTCGTACATCAGTCATACATAATATTTTATCCCATATTTAAAGGGTTTGCTGTGAATATACATTTTAAAGCGACATCTGCCTCTGAAACCTACCAGAGTTTCGTCTACACAAATATTTTCAACCGTATATGCATCTTTGAATTGCTTTACAAATAAGTCAAATAATTCTTGGATAGCAGCAGCTGAATTATCCCTTGCTTTTGTTCTTGGTCCGAGGCATCGTTCAAACCTTAAGGCGGCCATCAGGTCAAGGAAACGTTTCTGCGGCATAACTGCTCTAAATACAGACCGTCCTTTCCCAGTCGTAGCAAACAGACTTCGTACATCCTCATGATTTGACTTATAAATAGAAGTATAAAGAAGCAGTCATAAGAAAGCTCTCAATTCTATTTCATCAGTATCAGCCTACTCGGATTCGTCTTTTTTTATTGTTGATATTGTGGCAGAGAAAAGTTGCGAGTTTTTCGTTAGTTCTCTTGACAACAAGATTTCATATCTGGTGAAATCATTTATTTATATATTATATATATAATTTATATATATATATATATATATTATATATATATATATATATTATATATATATAAGCGAGGTTCCTACAGCCTCTGCCGTTTCTCGCATTTCGACCGCCATCGTTTTCTGTCCATCCATTCGTCTTCTCTGATGGCTCTATCTCTCATTATGTGCCGTACATTTTCTTCCCAGGCAACTGAAGGCCTTCCCCTTCTTCTTCTTTGTTGTGGTATGTAATTTAAAGCTTTCTTTGGCCATCTATCTTCATTCATTCGTTTCACGTGACCATACCACACTAGTTGTCTCGTTTCAATTCTATCTACACTGGAATATACAGTATTTGTCCTCCTTCTAATATCTTCATTCCTGATGTGATCTTTTTTGGATATACCACACGCTCTCCTTAGAAAATCCATTTCTACTACTTCTATTCTTTTTCTATCCTTCTGCGTTATCTGCCAAACCTCTGCCCCATAAGTCATAATAGGCTCTACCAAGGTTCGATAGATTGTCAATTTCGTTTCTTGTCTAATATCTTTAGACCAAAGTAGAGAGTTTAGAATGTTTACCACTTTTTTTTCCCTGCTGTGTTCTGTTTTCGATGTCTCTTTTGGTAGTGCCTTCTTTAGATATTATAGATCCGAGATATTTATATTCATTGCATGTTTTTGTGTTTCTAATTTCTAACTCTGGATCTTCTTCACCATCTCCTATTTTAAGATACTCTGTCTTTGCCATATTCATATTGAGGCCCCATTTTTCATATTCTTTCTTTAGTTTTCTAAACATGTAGTCCATGTCTTCCTCGTCATTCGCTACGACTACCTGATCATCTGCGAAAAATAAAGCTGTTAGACATTCACCACCGCCTATGTCTATTCCCATTCCGGATACTTGTTTTCTCCACTGCTCTAGCGATGATTGAATATATATTTTAAACAGGGTCGGAGACAGACAACATCCTTGTTTAAGCCCCTTGGTTATTGGAAATGATTCAGATATAAAGTTTCCTTCTTTAACGACACTTCTTGCATTTTTGTATATATTTGCGATAGCATCCACATACTCTCTACTGAGACCTACTTTCGTCAATGTATAAAATAGTTTTTTCAAAGGTACCGTATCATATGCCTTCTCTAAATCTACAAACAATAGGTGGGTAGATAGATTCCTTGCCTTCCGTTTTTCGATTACCTGCTGCAGAACGAATATATTATCAATGCACGATCTTCCTGCCCGAAATCCATTTTGTTCCTCTATGTCTTCATATTCTGATTCAATTCGTTTTTTTATTATTCGACCGTACAACCTCCCAACTGAGCTAGTAACAGTTATTCCTCTATAATTAGAGCAATTGCGTTTATCCCCTTTTTTGTATATTGAGCTGATGTATCCAACATTCCAATCATCAGGGATATTTTGTCCTTTTAAGCATTTATTAAATAGTTTAACCATCATCTCGTGTAATATTTTTGGTCCATACTTTACCAACTCAATTGGGATGTCTCCAGGTCCTGCTGCTTTACCGTTTTTCGATCTTTTGAGGGCATCGCTTAACTCTCCGGTTGTTATCTCAATTATTTGTGTATGTTCAGATATTTCTTCCATTTCGATATCTTGGAATTTACGTCTATCCTCTGTCAATAAGACCTCATAATGCTGTTTCCACTGTTTCAGATCTATTAATTTTAAGTTAGATTTTTCCTTTCCTTCCCTCGGAGAGACTTTATCACCTTCCACGCTTGCCCAACTCTTGTTCCACCCATATACCTATCCACCTCTGCACATCTTCGATCCCACATCTCATTTTTACTTTTCACTACTTCTCTTTTTACATCTCGATTTAATTTCGTATATACCTTGTGATCTTCCTCCTTTCTCGTTGACATCCATTTCTGATAAGCAGTTTTCTTCTTGTTTACTAACGTTTGCATATTCTCCGACCACCATTCTTGATTTTTTGTTTCATGTTTGTCTTTATACCCCAAAGCTTCACTTGCAGCCTCATGAATGTAGTTTTTAAGTTGTTGGTATAATTCTTCCGCTGTTATATTTTCTCGATCCACATTTTGTAATTTTGTGGCCAGTCGTAATTTGTAAAGAAATTTTGTTGAATCTTCTTTTAAGCTTTCTAGGTTATATTTAGGAGATGTTACTTTTTGTCCCTTTTCTATATTCTGTACCTGAGTGTTATTGTTTTTGCGATAGTTAACTATCACATTGGCCATAAGTAAATGATGGTCGGATCCACATTCTGATCCACGGTATACCCTTACGTCAGTTGTTTTCAGCTGGGAAGTTTGACGTTGGATTACAAAGTCGATTATCGAGCGCAGATTCCTAGTAGGTTGTATCCATGTAAATTTGTGGATGTCTCTATGTTGAAAAAATCCATTCATAATTTTGAGAGACATTATTTCACAAAAATCTCTAAGACGCATTCCGTTGTCATTGGTTATTTGTTCTCCATATCTTCCTACGACTCTG